ATTGGGCCATTGCACACTTTCCATTAAGAGTTTGGAGTCCTTGTTGTCTTTTATTCTGCACTGCAAAAATACCATGTCTTAGTACATCAGAGGCAGCAAACTTTATAGCCAAGTCTATAAGCCCATCCTGTAAGCTAAGAATGGTGTTTACATTTTTACAGGGCTAAAGAGGGACAACAGCAAAGACTTTATTAAGCAGAAACCTTCACTGGTTTCAAAGCCTAAAATATTTAATACCTAGCTTTTTACATTAAAGCTTGCTTGAGTTTTGAAGTGGGTAAATAACCTGTTAATTGTTAGAAATTCACTGATGGAAACAATCTGTGTTATGGTTGTATATCTGAATACTGCGTAGTCATTAAAATGATGACAAAGATTGATGATATTTTGATGTAAAAGAAAAATGAGTAGGCTGCTAAATAGCATGTTGGCATTCTGTCTTCTGGCAAAGCATGGTGAAAAAGCATAAGTAACTTTCATCTGATTCTTTATATTTATATACTCCCTGAATTTTAAAATGAACATTTTGTTTTATGTGTAATGAGCAACAAATGTGCATATGTGCATTCTGTGCTTTGTGTCTTTTAAAGAGAGAGAAACTAGATGAACATTTCTAGAGTAGCTTGCTACTAATTGTCATTGGATGAGAAAGAGGTTTGTTTAAAGAATATAGCTTATGGGAACCAGCAGTTAGCGTAATGGCTATGTCGCTCGACTCCCACGTAGTCGACCGCGGTTTGCGTCCCGGACCCGGTGGCTTAAAACTCACGCCAGGCGTGTGTGCGTGCATGACCAGGATCCCGAGAGGAGAATGGAGGAGAAGGGATTGCGGCGTGACCATCCCCCCTGGGGGGTGACTTCTCGCTTTCTGTCTCTGTGTCTCTCTCTGTCTGTCTGGCGAGTGCACGCGCCCTATAGCAAAAAAATCCTCTCCAAAAAAAAAAAAAGAATATAGCTTATTACGCATTACTTGTAAACTGTTGTCATCTTTGAACTTGAACATTTTTCCTTTAGAAACTTTTACCAGGTGTTGTATCCAAACACCTGGAAACATTGACTTTTTTTTTTTACCATTTCCTTAGTTGAAACCTAATTACACATGAAAGTAACATGGACTTTAAGATATTGTCAGGAACTGTGCCTCTGTGGTTCACATTGCTAAGATTACAGATTTAGTGGTATGCATTGACTCCAGGAAATGTTTCTTTGTCCAGGCACAAGTACAGACTGTAAATATTAAAGGAATGCAATAATGATTAAATGGTAAGTAGACTATCAAGAGAACAGTGGGATTTTCATAGGTTTTTAAAACATTTTCCATTTTATCCTCATACCTTGGTCTAAATTCCCCCTTTTCTTTCCCAAAAAGGCAAGGGTTTTAATATGTTTTACAAGTGTAATATAGAAAATATTTAATATACATAAATAGCATTGTAGTATCTCTTTTTGCTTCTTGCTTTGCTCACCCAGCAGTATATTTCTAGTGCTATGCGGCTGCATGGTGTCTGTCTACCACACTGTACCTATGTACTTTCTAGGGAGTAGCCCTCACCTTACCGTCACAAGCAGTGCAGCAGAAACAATCTCATACGTCTTTATGGGCTGCTATAAGCATTTCTTTGGGATAGATAATACGCAGGAGCAGAATTGTGGGGTCTTGGGGTATGTATTTGACCAAGTATGGATGATTCCTTTGAAAACTTATTTATTTATTTCTCCCATGAGTGTGAAGAGCAGAGAGACAGAAACAAAGAAACAGCATTCAACGGGATCTCGATGTCCACCCCAGCTTCAACTAGCCATGGGTCATGGGCATACGCATGCCCTGTGGTTTAGGGAGGTTTCGACACACGGACCCAGAACTTTGCCACGTGGGTCTGCTTTGCAGAGTGTCGTGTTTTACCATGGTGCCACTATCCAGCTCCAGATGAGTCCTTTGAATGACTGTACTAGTCTACACTATGGGTCTTTTTTTTTTTTTCTTCTTTTTCTTTTTTTAAGTTTAAATATTTATGTTCATAGAGAGAGAGAGAGGTATCCTTAACAGAGTTTTACCATGCAGCAGTCCGCCTCTGCCACCCTTCTAGCTAACCAGGATCCCAGGCATGCCCTACGTGTTTAGGTGGACCCAGGATCCAAACCCACGCCTTCTCACATGACTCCAGCATTTCCAGTAGATGTCCTATCACCTGTTCCAACATGGGCTGTTTATTGGGGAACTTTTTGTGGGTGAGAGCTTCTCCACGACCAGTGGTTAGTTGAAAAAAAGGATTACCTTAGATATGAATAATTGTTAAAGCTTCTGCATTATTGCTAGGTTGCAGTTCCAGAGGAGACTCTATTAGCCATGCTTTTAAAAGAGGTTTTTGCCTTAAGGTGTGTGTGCTTGCTTGAAAGAGAGAGAAAAAGACAGAGACAGTGAGAAGGAAAGTGAGAAATCACCCCCTAGGGGATGGCCACACCACAATCCTTTTTCCTCCAAGGATCTTGGGCATGCACACACATGCGCCCATTGTGATTTTCAAGCCACCATTCTGGGACTTGAACCATAGTCAGCCATGTGGGAGTCCAGCAACATAACAACTATGCCCTCTGCTGGCCTCTAGCCATGCTTTTTTATAAGTGTGTGCACTTCTTGAGAGTTAGAGCTGTTAGCAGTGTGGAAGAGTAGGAACTGACCTGAGTCCTGTCTTCTAAGTCTACATCTAAATGACCAGGTGACAGGAAATGGTATTGTGTATAATTTATGATCCTACCTCCTTAGCTTTTAACTTTCTAATTATATGTAATACGTAAATAATGCTAAGTACTGTTACATATATTTTATAAATATTTACTCATTTAACTCACATAACTGTAAGATAGGTACTATTATTGTCCTCATTTCTGTCATGAGGAAGCTGAGGCACAGAGGGAACGTTATCTAAGTAGACTTCTCAGTTTTAATATAGCTAATCAGGGAACATGAAGAACTCATGAAAAGTCATTGAGAATAAATGCCATTTCATGGTCCATTACAAAACAAAGGTGCTATTTAACCTTTGAATAACAATTATGAAACACATTGTAAAATCAAATGGAAAAGAGAAACACATCTACTAACATGTTTACTATTGTAGCACTAAGAACTTGAAATTAAAAGCCTCAGGTAATGGTAACCTTTATTAGATGCCATATTTAGTACACTGGATATGTTTATTTTCTATATGAGTAAAATTTAATTATTTGACCACTTTAAGATGATATCTTTTAACATTTATTTTAAAGCTTTGCTTCTGTAACTTAATTAGTAGGTATTAAAGCATAATTTCACATTTAATTGGGGTTGTATTTTTGATAATTCTCATTGTATTTTGTGGTATAGATGTGAAATACGAAACAATGGTTTGTGATAATGACTAGACCTTGCTTTGTTGGAGAAGTCTGTAATATCCTTTTGTTTTGGGAGTATTTGGCTAATGCTTATTAAAAGTAAAGTATGGAATGTGCAACCAAGGTTGTATAATATACTGCTTTTTGGTAAAGTTAATCATTGACTCCCAAGTGGTTCCTTGCCTGGAAAACTTTCAGTGTTGTGTGGTGGTTTTGACTTCTCAGCAGGACTTAGCTCTTAGTGATTTGAAGGTCCTGATGAATCACATGTATTCAGCAGCATTCATCTTTTTTTTTTTTTTATGCTATTCAGTATTTTTTGAGGAAAGTAAAAAGAAACAGTATCTCTTTCCACTTCAGTAGCTTGGGCTGGAATACTTCCAAGAGTATAAATGAATTATCTTCTGTAAACAAAGTATCAGGCTTACTATCTTCAACTAAAATGCCAAATTCCAAGTAACTCCTAAAATTACAACTTTAAAAATATAGGGCAGTGGGGGTAGCAAGTGGTATGGTAGTTAAAGTGGTGGACTCCTATTCCACATAGCCAACTGAGGTTCAAGTCCCAGACCTGGCAGGCACAAGTATGTGTGTGCCTAAAATCCCAGGAGAATAGAAAAGAGATTGTGGTGTGACCATCCCCCATGGTGGGTGATTTCTTACTTTCTCTCTCGGTCTCTTTCTGGGGAGCATACATGCTGTTTGGCAAAAAGCTTAAAAAAAAAAAAAAAAAGTATAGGGCAGAAAGCCTTGTCCTTTCATTGGCTGGGGTGTGTGCCCAGAGAGTATGTGTGCTTGCCACAGGAAGATAGAGAAAGCACCCCCCACTCCACGGGGTGTGGTCATGCCGCAGTCCTTTTTCCTCCATGTCTCCATCTTGTCAGGATGTTGGGCATATACACACAAGGGACTGGCATGTTTTTCAAGCCACCAACTGGGATCCCAGCTTCTGTTGGTCATGTGGTATCTGGCTCCCTGGGCACTGAGCTTAACCACTGTGCTACTGGGTTGCCCTGAGATTAACTTTCTTATAAATCTTTTGACTCACAAATTTTTCTGCTTAAACTTGTAAATTTATGACCTCCTTGGATAGAAACAGTGCATGCTCCAGAGCAAGGGATTCAGCTCTGCTGATCACCAACAGATGGTCGTTTTCAACTCAATTATTGTTATTGCGAGCATGTTTATTTTCTGTGTATATAGGTTTAATGTGTTACATCAATGGACACCAAAAAATGACTCTGGATAGTCCCTGGGGCGGGGGGGTG